ATGATATAGCCACACACACATATGTAGTTCTAGATGATATAGACGACGATCATCATCCTCAAGCCTGGGCGGTGGGTGTTCCTGATAGTAATTAGGATGGCCTGTCCAGCACGAAGATTCTTGCCAACGAGGAATCTCTTCCACCCAACCGAGTTCAACTGTGTGCGACCATCTGTGCCCATGCGGTAAGTACATGTGGTGACGGAGCCCCTTGCGGTAAGGCGTAGTCCAACTGAGCCTTCTTCATCAGGCTCGATACCACAACTCACAGATAGGTTCTTTGGCAATCTCTGAATAAGAAAAACATATCAATTAATAAATAGCCTCACACATACTCTTGCAAATATATTTCTATTAAGTCTAGATTTCTACACTAATAAGCATGTGATCAGACTCTACACTAAAGTATATCATCGACTAGATTCCACAAAGCATATCATTGGACTCTACACTAAGCATATCATCGGATTCACTAAGCATATACGTATAACATACCATTTCATGCCGATCGACCATGGTACTTGTCAGGCGGGTCACGAATGGCACCCCGACAAAGTCATCACGTGGCGGAATTATGTCCCATAGGTTGCACACCTCCTCCTCGCTCAGCCTCATTCTTTGAGCTATGATGGCTTCATGAAGTGGGTTCTCATCATCTTCATTGAGTGGGTCCTCATTATCTTCATCATCTTCATCATCTTCCACCAGGTTGATATAAATGACAACCAGTTTGGGTCTTTCTGCTCTGAAGGAGAATCTGATCAACTCACCACCAGTAAGACGCATACGAGCGAGGAAACGGGCCCATCCATCTCCTCCAATCTGCGACATATTGCGTCCTTTCTCGACCTCCATAGTGTACGGCCCCCCAGGAGCCTCAAATGTCACAGTGTCTCCTGTCAGCTTGTTGAATTTCAACCTCACATTGCATGGGACGATCTGTGTAAGAAAAGCAAAATGACACAATGCAGTAATGCCAACACTAAAAATAAAATAATTGTTACATTTCATCTAATTTCTTACCGCCGCATGACGAAAACTCGGATGGAAGTAGATGCCGAACAGCTTGCCAGTTGCAAGGCTGCTGGCGCACCTTGACTTGCACAGTCGACATAGTGGTGCTGGTGGTGGCGCCATTTTCCTAAAGCAATATGAGCAAAGGATTAACGATTCACTTCACGGGAAACAAGTGGCAAATTTAACTACATTGGCACCTACATTTTGCCAAAAAATAACTTATTACAAAAAAACTAAATCGAGCATACTCAATCAACTAAATCAACCAACATTCTAAATCCACTAGCATACTAAATCAACTACATCAAAATGTTCTAAATCAACTAGCCTACTAAATAAACTAAATCAAAATGTTCTAAATCAACTAAATCAACTAGCCTACTAAATCAACTGAATCATATCAACTAAATCAAAATGTTACATATGAAAGCCTACTAAATCAAAATGTATCAGGGAGGAGGGACAAGGAGGGGCGACTTGAGGAGGGAGAAGATAGTAGGACGGAGGAGGAAGGCGGAGCGAGGAGGGGCCGGCCGGCGGCGAGTGGAGGGAGGACGGATCGAGGAGGAAGGCGGACCGAGGAGGGGGCGGCCAGCGGCGAGTGGAGGGAGGACGGAGGAGGAGGCCGGTACCGAGTCCAGCCAGGAGGATGAGGCGACATCGGCGCAGATCGGGGGAGGGGCGACGGGGAAGGACCGGCGGCGCGGGGGGTGAGGAGGAGACCGTGAACGAGTGTGTGTGAGTGTGATCTGTGGATGAGGCTAGCTAGTGGGGGGAAGATGCAACGGCATAGCAGTAGCGCGCTATAGGTAAACGCGCTACTGCTAAGCAACCTATCAGTAGCGCCTTTCGGCCTGAACGCGCTACTGCTACGTGTCAGTATGTAAAAATAGACATAGACATAAAAAATACATTGATCGTTAATGGTCTTTTTGTGTACAATCTGATTTGTCAATAGGAATCCTCGCCGGTTCGTTTAAGAACTGGCGAAGACTCCTATTGCGGCCACAGATCCTACACATAGAGTTCAATGAAGACCAAGTGCTTGTCAAAGTTGTAGAAGAAACATATTTAAGGTGGGTAAAACTCTCTTCACGGAGCGAGGTGGGACTAAATTTTTGTAGTTAATTTAGCAGTAGCGATTATTGTCTGAATGCGCTGCTACATTACGTAGCAGTAGTGTTGTTTACTTTAAAGCGCTGCTACTATAACTGGCCTCGCGGCGGCGTCGTGAGAATTTTAGCAGTAGCGCTTCTTGGAGTGCATGCACTACTGATAAACTTGTTTCAGCAGCGAGTTTCTATGGCCCGCGCTGCTGCTAGTTAACAGCATCGCCTGATTTTAAAGCGTGCTGCTGGTAAGATTCTGTGTATAGGCTTTTCCCTAGTAGTGAGGGGCGGCAGATCTGGGCTCCCCCGGCCGCCCACAGGGACGGCGCGAGGAGAGGAGGGAGGAGGGCCGGTGGAGATCTCTGCACCGAGCACCCTAGCTATCTTCTTTTGCTCCGGATCCGATGTCTTTGCTGCTAATCTTTTGCGCCCGCCCCTCTCACACCATTTAATCACCTGTGTCACCTTTTCTTATTAACGGTAGCTTGTCAAGAAGAACAATGTTTTCTTTATTTCACATCTTGTAACATTGTCAAGAAGAAGAATGTATTTTTTTTAATTTTTTTTCAGTGTTTTCTCTTCACATTAAAGCCACACAAATATCACTCATAAATCCAGGTGCATCTACTTAATCGTCATTGATGATATACGCCAAAAATAAACATGTGAGGTCATTAAGTATGCAATTCCCCATGACCAGTTCTGTTAAAATAATCAGCACTACCACATGTGAAGATGTGGCTGATTCATGTGGGTCATCTTTCGATGGCCATATTTACAATATAAGACCAGCTGATAAGATGCATTCCAGACAAATATTTCATCGATGATTATTCAACTCGAAAGACAGCCGCCATTGCTCGAGGAATTTTGTTTACTGCATTTATGAGGGGTGCGAGAAAGAGGTGATGTTTGAAGCACAGGATCCATGCCCAAGTTTGAAAATGCTCTGCACAATTGAGGCCACAAAGGTGGCCCTGGAGAGAGCACTCAGCACAAACCCCAGGTTCCCTACTCTGGATTTCGTTAAGCGCTAAGCTAGCCTCTTAATCCAGGTACATACTCTACTTGGCTAATTCTTTCTCCCTAGCTATATCTATAGCTCTCCTTGTTGCCTGCTCAAGTGTTTTTTCTTCCAAGTGCCATATTAATTATTGAGTGACCATTATTTATCGTTTTATTGGCATTTTCCTTGAACAGAACTGTCTGGCAAACTAAAGAGCTCAGAATCTCTTATCAGTTATAACTGGTTTCGACAGTTTGACTTACCATTGCTTGTGGTCATATGCAGTGCTATTCTCCAGAGATTGCTAGAGCACCAGAATCTCTTACACTTGTAGTCTGCACATTCTAAGCCTTCATCCCCGCCATAAGTTGATTCAGAAACTTATCTGCACCTGCACGAAGAGAGCATCCTTGGCTGTGCACATATGGTGAACATGATCTAAAAAGGGGAGTTAACAGCTAATGTAACACTTATTTGTAAGAGCAAGCAGTACTGTGCATCAGTTAGAACTTATATGAAACCTAATGAGATTCATTCTGCCACCATATTTATTACATCCATAGGAAGCGGAACTAGCAGGACTAGCACGGAAATAAAGTTCATATTTTCCTTTCTTTTAGGGAACATATATAGCCATTAAATATGCATGACATAACAGAAAAAGGGGTGATGGACAAAATTGTCTCTGACCAAATTTCAACAACACATCACACTGTTTAAAAGATACAGCTACATTTGCTGACCGTCGATCAAATTAGCAGGCTTATTATGACTCCAAGGTGCTCACAACCTTCTGAACCACAAAGGCGAAATTTAACAGAGCAGGGGTGACCAGCAACTTTCGTCACACAGTTAGTTAAAGCATCATTCATTTGTATTTGCTATGCTGTTCATAAAGATCTGCTAGATATAGCTGGCAGTGGCAACAGTTCCAGCAAAGTGTGAGAAAAAAGCAAGCATCATCCTTCCTAGTAACCAAAATTGAAGAAACATCACCTCCTATGAGTCGAAAGTATTTAACACCCAAAATTCCTAGTAAAACCACTCAAAAACTGAACAAAAACAAGTGGGAGTAAAGATGCCATAATCTGATACCTTAGTTTGTGTCTCTGTACCAGAAGATCAGTTTACAAGAAGAGAACTGGGACAAGTTAAGACTTATATGTCATTAAAGAGAGACAACCTTGTTTACACATATTATACGTACTTCCCTATATATAGATCAAGAAAAAAAATGGTCTATATGACCTTTGATCAGTTCGCCAAAAAATATAGTTGATAACATATCCAATGGACCCGATGAATAATCATGTGACAGATATGTTGATCATTGTTCACCAAAAAATCGTCTATACTGCATGTTCCCATTCAAATGTAAAGAAGAAAGGGAATATAGAAACTAACTTGCTGCTGGCAACTTCAGTGAGTCCACGGGCACAACGCGGTCATCATATCATGATCAGCTGTAAACACCATGGTTGGTGGCTATTGACAATGGTTGCCAAAGGTCTTCTCACATTATGAAGTGGTGAATATCTAGTATATGTCCATCATTACAGTAGACAAGGAAAAGGGCGTTGAGAATTTACTAGGTGAAATCGAAGACTAACAAAACTAATATAAATTGCAGCTTAGTGGAGGCCAAATGAACAGCTCCATTGAAGTAGAAGGCAGCCATATAGAAACACAGATGGTCGTTCATCAGACATTCACTACTAACAAGTTCCTCCCAGAATTATTAGTAAGAGTAGTGACCTTTAATTTAGACATACTACAAAAAGAAAAGCTTGGGGGATGCAAGCTACAAAGAAACGTTGAGGCCTCGATTAGCAGTCCAAAGTAAATAGGCAAAATCTCTAGAAAAGGTTTCAATCAGTGCCCTGTTCCAGAAAAGAGTGGTACTTCTCAGGGAGTAACTCTTTATATTCCTGGCCTTTCCCCCCTGAAGCAAGTGCAGTCAACAAGATAGCTGTGGAAGCTTCAAGGGTGAAGCTCCTCTCATCAATTTTAGACAGATAAGTCCCAGCCCTGGGCACCTCCCCTTTCCGAAATAAGCTTCTAACTATAGCATTTATTATATGGGAGTCGGCAGCACATCCATTCTTCTCCATAGAAACAAATAGATCATCAGACTCTTGTAGAGAACCTTCTTCTATAAGTTTTTGTATCATTAAGCTATATGTAACAACGGTGGGCACTAACCCTTTAGCCCAGATACCATCAAACAAATCTTTAGCCTCTTCCTTCCTGCCACCTTTAAGCAACGCACCAAGCATAATATTAAAAGTGATAATGCAAGGCTTAACCTTCCCGGCCAACATTTCTCTGAAAACAACAAATGCATCATCTATCCTTCCATTCTTAGAGTAACCATCAATCAGTATGTTATAGGTGATAACATCTGGTTCCATGCCAATTGAGACCATATTGTCAAGTAACTTGCTCACTTCATCCATCTTACCAATGAACAAGTATCCACCTATCAGTATGTTATAAGTACACACATCAGGCTTCACACCCATGTGTACCATCAGGTCGAAGAGATCTTGGGCTTCCATAACCCTTCCATTTTTGCAAAGGCGGTCCATAATTGTGGTGAAGAACACTATGTTGGGACAGATGCCGCGATCCAACATCTCAGAAAATAGTTCATCAACCTTCTCCCATTTGCCACAAGAACAGAAACCCCTAATAAGAGGGTTAAAAACTACGATATCAGGAACTAACCCTTCAGTTATCATTTGATTGAACTGGGACATAGCATCATCCATTCGGTCAATCCTGGAAAGTAAGTCTATTACTGTTCCATAGCTCACTGCATCAGGGTTCAATCCTTGCTGCCGCATTTTTGTAAATATATGCATTACTTCATCAACCATTTTTTCTTCAGCATATGCAAATATAAGTATGTTGTATCCATAATGATCTGGTGAAATACCATTATCATCCATCAAATCAATGAGACAATTCATATCATGAAAAGATCTTTCCATAGCATACCCATGAAGCATAATGTTGTAGGTAGTAACAGTCGGTTTCTGGCCCAAACTGATCATGAAATCAAAATTCTTCCTAGCTTCTGTGCATCTTCCATTCTTGCAAAGATAATCCATCTGTATACTATAAGTTATGATATTTGGTTGAACACCATTTCTAGACATTTCTATGAAAACCCGATCCACCTCCTCGCACTGTCCTAATGAATAATATCCATGTATTAAACTAGTATATGTGGTAACATCTGGCAGAATTCGTCTATCAAGCATCTGTTGAAGAACCTCCTCAGCCTTGTCCATCGCGTGAAGCTTGCACATGCCAGAGATGATTGAATTACAGGTCACAACATTCGGTGATACCCCCTGACGCAGCATTTCAGAAAATAGGCTGTAAGCTTGGTCCACCTCATCCTCTTTCAACAAGCCATCAATTACAGTGCTATAGGTCACCACATCAGGTCGGCAGCAACCTCCATCCTCAACCATAATTTGAATCAGCTCGAGAGCCTCTTGGCTTCTCTTCTCGTTGCAGAGACCCTTGAAAAGAATGTTATAGGAGAAAATGTTTGGTATGCAGTTAAACTCAGGCATTATCCGGAGTACGATGTCCATTGCATAACTGGTCTTCTTCTCGGCGCAGATGGCCTTGAGTAGGTGGCTGAAATTGATGATAGCTTCTGCTGTAAATCCCAACTTAATGACGTGTCCCATGGCAGCGTGTCCAAGGTCCAGGCGGCCAGCACGGCAGCAGCAGTCGACTAGAATGCCATAGGTGATATTGTGGGGAGGCACCTTGGCTCTTGCAACATGGTTGAAGAGGGAGACGCCGAGCGCGGGGCAATCACGGCCAACAACAGTGAGGAGGCAGTTGATGGCAGGGATCGAGGAAGGCCCAGCAACCTGGAGCAATTCGTCGAACAGGTGGAGTGCGTCCTCGGTGCCAATGCATCCGGCATGGTACCGATCCTTGATGTTCCTCTCCAAGATGCGTCTGTCGACGGGGACAAAGCGGCGGCTCATAGTTCCAGCTGGCCTGAAGAATCCCTCGCCGCCGCCGTTCACCACCTACAGAACCTGGGGTTAAAAGGAAGGAAAAGCAGAGGAAGAAGGACGAGCTGTAGGAGGTAAAAATGCTCCATGGTCGTCAGGATGCTCACCGTCGAGCTGCAGCTGCCGTAGGAGGTAATGCGATGTACTGCAGGAGATCTCCGCCACAGCGTGTCAGCGTTGAGGGGGGCGAGGACGAGATCTCCGCCGCTGGGCCCTGAGGAGAGGGCCTCCACCGCCGCAGGTCCAGACGCTCACTGGCCTTTGGTTTCCCCTATCCCGACCGCGGGGGAGAGGGCCTCAACGCCCGCCGCCACTCCCGTATTTCCGCCGCCGCCGCCGCCGCCGCCGCCGGCGCTGGCCTGAGACGAGACCTCGGCTCTCTCAAGAAGAAGTTGTATCTGTATCGTGAACTAACTGAAAAAAGAAAAAGAAAAAAACTTCACACCATACGTACTTGAAGGACTGCTCTTTGTTTTATTTTTGGGTAGGAATTGGGAGCACCCACTTACAACTTATTTATTCCATTTTTTTCCGAATACGCATGAGTGTGTACTCCCTCCGTTCCAAAATAGATGACCCAACTTTATACTAAAATTAGTACAAAGTTGAGTCATCTATTTTGGAACGGAGGGAGTACATATTACACGAACCCAACTCCACCCGTGTACGTTGGCTAGTCTAACTCCTCGTCGTAGCCCGTAGCCCACGATGATAACGCTCTCAGGAAGGAGGCAACATCTCCTTTGATGAGCCCGGCCCGCTTCCACATCTGGCATTCTCCTTCGATCCTATTGAATACATGGTTTATCGATGGCACTACACCATCAAATACAATCGTATTTCGGTGCTTCCATATTTCGATGCATGCCTTGCTTTGGCTCCCCTCCTGAAGCTTCTCTCCCCTTGATGGTATCCATCCTTGCTTCCCGGGAGCGTGGCAGACAACCGTCCATACCTCGCGCGTGAACACACAATCTAGCAGGAGATGGTTTATCATCTCCTCTTCCCGCGCGCAGAATGGGCACGCCTCTTGATGACCTAGCCCCCTCCGAGCTAGGTGGCCGAAGTCCACCACCTGTTCTGGAGAGCAAGCCAGGTGAAGAATCTACATTATAGGGGGGCCCTGGACTTCCACGTGAACGTCCATGTTGGAGCCACCTCCCAGCTTCAGAACTTTGCCGTGTAAGCTGATCTGGTCGAGAAACATCCTTCCATCTCCCAGGCCCAAGCAATGGAGTCCTCCCGATCATCATCGTGTAGCACTTCCCTCGCAAACTGCATTCCAGAGGGCAAAGTACTCCAGTAGCAAGGCCGGCGTGAGATCCGGCCCAATATCTCTCACTCAGTCGTTGTCTGAGATTCCTTGTTGCACAAGTGCGCACGCCACGTACTATTTGTCTGACTCGCCCCGTACAGGCTTAGTGCAAGCTCTTGTATCCGTTGTCCCAGCAACCATCTATCCTCACAAAATAGCGTATTCCTTCCATTCCCAACTTTTGACAGGGCTGTAGCCCTACACAGCTGCAGTGATTCCTTTAGCATCGTAATGTTGAACTCCGCCCATGGCCTGGAGGTGTCAGATCTTTGTAGCCACGGTCATCTTGATTGCATTGCGATATTTAGCCATCTGAGGTTCAGGATGCCCAGACCTCCAGCCCACATAGGCGTACAGATCGTCTCCCAAGCCACAAAGCATTCCCCACCATTTGCCTCCGCCCTAGCACACCAAAGGAAGCCCCTGCAGATCTTGTTCATCGCCGAGATCGTGCTTGTGGAATGTCCAGTGCAACCATGGCGTGAAGTGGGATTGCACACGACACCGATTTGACCTAAAGGGGTCACCCACTATTGGGCATGTTGGCCGCCTTCGATCAGGGCAAAGCGGCTGCGAGTTGATCTACCATTCCCAAAAGCAGAGCAGCCGATTGTTTGCGGATGGTGAGTGAGAAGTCGAGATATTTGCAAGGAAAGGTGCCGCTCGGGTAGCCGATTATGGCCACCAATCTTTGCCAAGTATTCGGGGGGCAACAAATTGGGTAGGTCGCGCTTTTGTTGAGATTTACATGCAGCCCCGAAGCTCCACCAAAGATCCGCAAAAGTGATGAGCACGGTTGTAGGTCTTGGTCATATGGTTTTATGAAAATCGTGACGTCGTCGGCGAACATTGAGAGGTGGTGCTTCATTCCCCTCCTTGCTAGCATGGCCATGATTCCACGTCAGGTAGCAAGCTCAAATATCCGTTGTAGCGGCTCCATGTTTAAGATGAATAGCATCAGTTATAGTGGGGCTCCTTGCCTCAAGCCCTTGCAATTGTATATTGGTCATCCCATGGCGTTGTTGACCATAATCCTCGTGGAAGATGTCGATAGCAGTCCACAAATCCACGCAAGCCATCTAGCCCCAAAACCATGCTTTGCATTACTTCTGGGAGAAAAGGTTAATGCACTGAATCGAACGCCTTTGAGATGTCTAGTTTCAACATTACGGCGGCCTTCTTTAGTGCGTGTAGACGGTGTGCCATGCATTGCACGAGCGAAGGAGCTTGAGAACCTGCTAAAAGATGAGAACAAGACATTCAAGGTGGTATCGGTTGTGGGATTTGGAGGTCTAGGCAAAACAACACTTGTGAATGTGGTATATGGGAAGATCAAGATCGGATTTCAGTGTTGTGCTTTTGTGCCTGTCTCCCAGAAGCCATACATACCAAAACTTATCCATGATTTACTGTCCCAACTTGGGTGTAAACCATCTTCTCATGATTGCGGCTTAAATATCATGTTGGACCAACTTAGGGAACATCTACACAACAAGAGGAATCCATTTTACTTTGTGCATGTTGTTATTTGCCAGTGTCTATGGTATGTTTCAAAATGCTATATATATTTAGCTTCGTCGGTTATTACTTTTTTGCAAGAAGCTTTGTCCATTAATTTAGATGAAAGTGTATATTCTTTGAGTATTAGAACCTTGGAGAAAATAATAGTTGTTCCTGAAGAAATGCAAACAATAAAAGAAGTGCTAAGAAGAATATGAATGCATATTAGTCAACTTAATTAGATACTTCTAATTTTTGTGTCTTATGGCTGCAACGTGTGGGTTGAAATTGACTGGAGTTGAGGAGTGTTGGGGAACATAGTAATTTCAAAAAAATTCCTACGCACACGCAAGATCATGGTGATGCAAAGCAACGAGAGGGGAGAGTGTTGTCTACGTACCCTCATAGACCGACAGCGGAAGCGTTATGACAACGCGGTTGATGTAGTCGTACGTCTTCACGGCACCTCCGAGTTTTAGCACACGTTCAGCTCGATGACGATCCCCGGACTCCGATCTAGCAAAGTGTCGGGGATGAGTTCCGTCAGCACGACGGCGTGGTGACGATCTTGATGTTCTACCAACGCAGGGCTTCGCCTAAGCACCGCTACAATATTATCGAGGATTATCGTGGAGGGGGGCACCGCACACGGCTAAGAGAACGATCACGAAGATCAACTTGTGTGTCTATGGGGCGCCCCCTACCCCCGTATATAAAGGAGTGGAGGAGGGGAGGGCCGGCCCTCTCTATGGCGCGCCCTAGGGGAGTCCTACTCCCACCGGGAGTAGGATTCCCCCTTTCCTAGTCCAACTAGGAGTCCTTCCAAGTATTAGGAGTAGGAGACAAGGAAGGGGAAGAGGGAAGAGAAGGAAGGAGGGGGCGCCGCCCCTCCCCCTAGTCCAATTCGGACTAGTCAATGGGGGGGCGCGCGGCCTGCCTCTCCCTCTCCCCTAAAGCCCAATAAGGCCCATATACTTCTTCCCCCGTATTCCCGTAACTCCCCGGTACTCCCAAAAATACCCGAATCACTCGGAACCTTTCCGATGTCCGAATATAGTCGTCCAATATATCGATCTTTATGTCTCGACCATTTCGAGACTCCTCGCCATGTCCCCGATCTCATCCAGGACTCCGAACTCCTTCGGTACATCAAAACTCATAAACTCATAATATAACTGTCATCAAAACCTTAAGCGTGCGGACCCTACGGGTTCGAGAACAATGTAGACATGACCGAGACACGTCTCCGGTCAATAACCAATAGCGGAACCTAGATGCTCATATTGGCTCCCACATATTCTGCGAAGATCTTTATCGTTCAGACCGCATAACAACATACGTTGTTCCCTTTGTCATCGGTATGTTACTTGCCCGAGATTCGATCGTCGGTATCTCAATACCTAGTTTAATCTCGTTATCGGCAAGTCTCTTTACTCGTTCCGTAATACATCATCTCGCAACTAACTCATTAGTTGCATTGCTTGCAAGGCTTAAGTGATGTGCATTATCGAGAGGGCCCAGAGATACCTCTCTGACATTCGGAGTGACAAATCCTAATCTCGAAATACGCCAACCCAACAAGTACCTTCGGAGACACCTGTAGAGCACCTTTATAATCACCCAGTTATGTTGTGACGTTTGGTAGCACACAAAGTGTTCCTCCGGTAAATGGGAGTCGCATAATCTCATAGTCATAGGAACATGTATAAGTCATGAAGAAAGCAATAGCAACATACTTAAACGATCGAGTGCTAAGCTAACGGAATGGGTCATGTCAACCACATCATTCTCCTAATGATGTGATCCCGTTAATCAAATGACAACTCATGTCTATGGCTAGGAAACTTAACCATCTTTGATCAACGAGCTAGTCAAGTAGAGGCATACTAGTGACACTCCGTTTGTCTATGTATTCACACATGTATCATGTTTCCGGTTAATACAATTCTAGCATGAATGATAAAAATTTATCATGAAATAAGGAAATAAATAATAACTTTATTATTGCCTCTAGGGCATATTTCCTTCAGTCTCCCACTTGCACTAGAGTCAATAATCTAGTTCACATCGCCATGTGATTTAACACCAATAGTTCACATCACCATGTGATTAACACCCATAGTTCACATCATCATGTGACCAACACCCAAAGGGT